CCGCGGAGGTGCAGAATGTAATGATGTTTGATCCTGTATGGGATCTCCAAGCTACTGGCTTGATTTGGGCCATGCTTCTCCCAGAATTCCACCTGCTTGGCCTCATCGGCACTGTGGTGACACCTGCGAGGTGTCTTGTCTGGGAGGTCTGGTGGCTCAAGTGGCTATGGACTGCGCCGTTGATCTGTTTGAAGGGTAAGAGGTTAATCTGTCGTATTGACCTTTTCCAGAGATCTGATCATCTTTTTGTTTCAGGATTTTGCACGTGTTCCAGCATTGTTTGATCAACAAATGCTTCTCAGTCAAGTGCCTTCAAGGAGTGCCAAGAGCAGCTGCCAAGAGGGGATCTGGACGCTTTGCAGTTGGGTCTATCATGAGGTATCGCAATTTGACCCATCCTAGGGTCATCATCTCACGCACAAGGTCTGGCAGTTATTGGTTAGTCAGTCATGGGGGTCGCCAGTTTGCTCAGAGCAGCAACCTGACTTTGATCCAAGGCTGAGAGCCTCTACTGGACCATGTAAAGTTCAATAAACTTTTTGTTTTTGGGACTCAGTGACTTTCTTTTTGGCTGACGGGTATTTTTGTTGAAACGTGAGAGTCTCTTTTGTATATTCATTATATTTGCACTGTTTTGAATCATTTGGCATCAGAATAAACTTTGTTCAAAATGGACCTCTCAGTCTTCAAGTTTCTTCATTGGTCAGTTGTTTGTTGTTGGCTTTTGTTTGAGACAAGGCTTTAAACCAGTTTGTTTTCAACTTCTTGTCATCAGCTTTTGCTCAAGGCAAGATTCTGTAGGCATTTGCTTTCTTTTGCTTGACTTCTTGTTGTCAGCCTTTGTTTGAGATGGGACTTCACCATTCCTTTCAAGTAGGCATCATGAAGTTGCATTGTAAACCAAAACTCATAGAAGCCCTTGATTGCATTGGCAGAGTGTCTTGGAATGGCAGAGTGTCTTGGTCACACAGTGAGAACAGTTCATGGTCATTGATTGCTAGAGCCCCCCTCAAAAGTGTAGTGAACCAAAAACTGTACAAAGTGAATGATGATGGCGTGTACGGTGTGTTGAATGAACCATCTCTGCATCCGTCATGCGCAACACCTCAAGAATTTATGGAGAAATTGAAAGAAGATGGATTCATGCATCTCATCCGAGACTGTTCCAGTGAACCAGAAGACCCACAACGTGATCCACCAAGGGAACGGGATAGTGTATCTCCTTACAATGACACATTTGGAATGAAGGATTGCTTAGACTTCTGGACGGAGTGCAATAAACTCAGTGTTGGACAACAGTCTGCACCAAAAATGTATGTGATGGAATTGGAGTTGCCCTCACCAACCCGGATGCCAGAAAAGGTTAGTTAGAAATTCTTCAATTTTGTAATTACGCTGTACGTAAACTTGTGGAAATCTTTTCCTTGTTGAGCCACGTCCTACATTTGTTGAAATCCGCGTTGTTGAGCCGCACTGCTTAATATATTGAAACCATTGAGGTTGGCATAAATGCTATTTTACAGGGTGAATTCAACTTGGATTTGACAAACCTGAGTGGAAATTAAATTGGCGCTCTTCTGTTGGAGCTGAGGTAGCCATTGGTAATGAATGGGATTAACACTCCCTTCCACTTCCTGGGGTCTTGTCACACTGTGTTCCCATTTCATTGTGAGGATATGAACCTGCTATCCATCAACATCCACATGGGAGGCTACAAGAAGTATTGGTAAGATAACAGTTGCTCTATTGCTGTTCTTCAATTGTCATGTTGTCATTTATATCCATTCAATTGATTGTGAACATTTCAAGAAATGGCAAATTGAACACAGCTCTCCCATTTCTTTCCAATAATTAGGTACTCCATTCTTGCTGAGGATGTGGCTTTGTTCCAGAGGCTCACGCGGGTTATTCTTGGAGGGGTAACATGCACAGAAGTTGGCAGGCACAAGCACTTTTTTTTATGAGAAGTGGTTCAAATTCCACAACATTTGGATAAACATTGCAATTCAAGAACCCTGGGACATCATCATAACTTTCTCAAAAGGTTATCATGGTGGTTTCAATGCGGGCTTTAATTGCAATGTTTCTCCTAATTGTGCCCTTAAGCTATGGGTTCCTTATGGAATGAGGGCAACATTTTGTGACTGTGTGTAAGTTTTGGAATGACCTTGATCATTTAGCAACTCATTGGTGTATTCTTTTCATGTATTGCAGAGGAGCAGCACATGTGTCATTCCCAATGGAACCATTTGTCAGAAGGTTCACGTCATCAGTGTACAAGAAGTGGTTGCTTGGGAAATTGACACACTTCCCAAATGGCAGGATTTGTCGCAAATAAAATTGGGGATACTTTTTTCCCCTTCTCTCTTGGATTTTTCTAAGAAAGAGTTTGGCTGGCGCCAAACTCTGTCCTTGGTGACTTCCATGAGGCCTGGGAGTAATCCTTTACCCAGGGTCCCTTTCAAAGAAATCCATCGACCTTCCAGGTCACTTAAATTCATCTCCATTGAATTCAAGACTTTCACACTCCCTTCTCCTCAAGGAGAAATTCCTTTCTGACCTATCTATGAAAGGCCATCTCTTGCTGGCCTTCTGTGAAGTTTTCCTGGTTTCCTACTCTATCCAAAAACTCACTCTTCTCTGAGCTCTCATCCCAGACACTCCTGGGTGTTTTGTGAACATTGTGTGCATTGACTGTGTGGATTGAAATTTCGAAGTATACCAACTTTAAAATAGGGTGATTTTTCACCCCGGTCGTAGCCCGACCGAATTCTTGTGTTTCATTTCCTAAAGTTTTTGAAGTTCAAACCCTTTCTCATAAAATCTTTATTTGTTGAGGATTTATTCCCAACAAGGGAGGTTTTTAATGCATTCTTTCTAAGGAAATGCAGAAGGGGACTAAAAAAAAGATTTGACTAAGGGAAATATTCATCTTAGGGAGGTTTGTTCAGAATACAGTCAAAATGTTTCAAGTTTAATTTTAAGGGACCACAAAAGAAATTTGACTTAATGAGGTTTCAACTTAGGGAAGTTTTGAGTTATTCTGTAGAAGTTTAGTGATTTGAGCTATGGAACCAAGCATTTTTGTTGTGGAAAATATAGAAAAATTTCAAAAAATTGTAAATGGTGACATTCTGGGCCTTGAATTGCAAAATTCATTGAGTTGACAGGATGCTGTACTTGGGAGTCTGTGGTTCATTTGCCTAGTTTAGTCTTTCACTTCCTTTCAAAACACATCACATTTCTTTCCTGTGTCAAGAAACTAATATCAAAAATGCCTAAAAAGTCGACACACTGGTTTGAGAGAAAAAGCATTTGAGTTATGGAGATTTTTAATGCATTGTTTCCCAGGGTACTTGGGCATCAATCGCGGACTCGGAAAAAATAGACTTGGGATGGTTTGAGTTACGGAAGTTCAACTGTACTTACCACTGATACTTGAAACGGCTCAACATTTCCGAAATGCAAATTCCAAAAATGGAATTGCTCGGCATGAACTCGTGATCTCCTATCGATTAAAGATCCAGAGATAGAACGTAAAAATTCTGAATGATTCAAAAATTCATGGCTCTGACCTTTAAAAAAAAAATTGAAATACCGCTGTAACTCCTCCTTGAGACATTCCGACCACGTCGAAATTTTTTTCATTTTTTAAAATACTGATTTTAAAAATATAATTTTCCGAGGCATNTGTTGAAAAATGCGTATCATATGCATTTCTGCATTATAATCAATCCTATCCAGGCATAACTTGAGTTACGCCTGGATAAATACCTAGCTGTAACTAGAGGGCGTTTTGAAACGTCTATAAGGTATGCATTAACTAAAATCCCGAGTAGGCGTAACATAGAGAGGTTTGAAATGCGTAGCATTTTTGGCTAGAAATGCGTATAAAACGCATTTTGAAACGCCCAAATTATTTGCAGGGGATTAGCGAGACTGAAAATAGTTGGGCTGAAAAACGGAAGGTTTGCATTAATATTTTTTCATTTTCTTTTGGAGCGTCGTTTTTTAGTCATTTGAATGCTATGCACAATAATTATTTGAATTTTAGCACTCCTGGACCATAGATGGAAAGAATAAAAGTGTAGAAACACATTTACATACACGGCATTGAGGAAATAACCATGCATAAAAGTACACCCCGTTTAAAGCCTTGGCAAAATATGTTGGGCATAATTATGACGCCCCAGTAACTTTTAATGAATTGATTGCTGACTATTGAGCAAATGATCAATTTTAGAAAAATTTCCAGAGAATAAATGTGCCAGATATGAGGCGGCTTTGCTAAAAAAACAAGATTGCGAGATACACAACTTTCGACGTCAAATGAAGTCCCTAATTATCAAATAATCATTGATTTCAATGCATAATTTAATCGGATGATGTTGAAAACCGGTGAATCCCAGTTGGGATGATTTCGAAAACGTATTTTTCCAAAGGAAATTATCCAGAATAATCATCTTGTATATGAGCTGATGTTGTAACCTTTGACTGATTCATTCCTTCGTTCATCGCAGCCGAGAACCCGATTTTGCGATGCTCTTTGAGACATGCTTTTCTTTTGTCTTTTTGCAGTTTCGGGATCGTCAACAAAGCAGAGCTTCTTTCGCTTCTTAACCGTTATTGGTTCCTTCTGAGAATCTTCTTTGAGATTTCGCAGGGGTGAATCATGAGATAGCTGATATTCAACTCGCTTGAGGAGCTTGAGCTTGTCAACGAAGTGTTCAGGAAGCGCGAATTTCGGTCGCACAGCAATTTTGCAATCGCGTTTCCGCTTTAGCACGATGACTTCGTTGTCGTCTTCGTCTTCGAATGAAGATGTCGGTCGGAAGAATTCTGAAGCTGGAAAAAATGAAAGAAAAGAATTCAATTTGGGAATAATTAAAAGTAATCCTTGGATTTCTCCATCATTCATAGCGTGGAAGCCCTCAATATAGCGAGCCAGCAACCGAATAATTTTTTTTTTTATAAATTTCCTTGAGAGATTCCCTGAACATTTCAATAATAAATCGCTTATAACTGAGGACAATAAACCACTCCAGACTAATTATAACTCCGTACAAAATATCAAAATTTTTCCTAGCTAATCGAAAAACCATTTATAAAAAAATTAATTTGCCAGGTGTCTGTGATCGACGTGGTCCCTTCCAATGACGATGAGCCATGAAAATATTTCAGATATTTTTTTTTTCAAATTGAAATTTATTCCTGCAGCTGTTCCAGAGATACTATATATTGCTTGAAATCTGTTCACAAGCCATATGGCTTTTATAATTGCGATTTCGGAAGCTGTGGTGCGACAATTTCCAAAATGGTATTCATCTACAGTGACATCTGTGAACAGATCATCAAACTACTCAAGTTTCTGTTTCCGCAGGTATATCTAGGTGCTACAGACTGTGTTAGTTGCTCTGATATGCAGCCTTCCTTGTTCGCGCGTGTGAAAGGCGCGGAAGAAAAGCAGAAAACTGAATAAATACTTTTTTTTTCTCTCTCTCTCCGACATGCAAATTTTGCTTTCATGAGTGTATATCGTGAAATTGCCCCGCTAACTTCAAAGTGTGCATTAATGTTGCAAGGCTTTCAGAGCACCTCGGGGAGCAATCCAACCGCAAAACGAGGCCTGCTCCAGACTGTCTTTGCTCTCGCTGTCAGTGATCCGTTGGACGATGGTTTCTTGCGAATTTCTCCCGAATTTCGGCGAAGCTACGATCCCTTTACACGTGCCGCAAGTGAGGATCGGATAATTAAACCCGATTGAATTATCTACAGGGCTACAATCAGCACTCATGGGCACTTGGCCGCCAGCATCTGATCGCACTTGGGCAGTGATCGTCTTATTGTCGCACGATTTCCTTCGCAGTCCTGGGCGACGATACATTGCCATAATCGAACTTCCTTCCTTGTCTGTTTCTGTATCATAAATACAACCAAAAAGAGACGAATCCTTTTGATGGATGGACTTGTAGTTAACTATTCGGATTGATTTTCACGTACCATGGGAATCTATGAAGGTTCTCTTTGCTTAAAAAAACATAGAAGAAACGACCGAAGCTTCAACAATCAGTATTGCCGAACGTTGCCCATGGAGAGTAGAATTTGTCGACGGTGGACAGCGAAAAAAATTTACTATACTGGCTAAGACATTCTAGTAATTTTATCGAAGCAGGAAATACGGTAGGCAAGTTAGAACACCTATAAAAAAAAAGTTTACTGAAGGTTCTTCGCTTATTTATTTTTATTTATTCTGCTGGAATTGAAACAGCATTCATTTATCTGCATTTTTTTTTTTTTTTAGTAAACGAGACTTTTAATTCTTGATGCTGTGAAGCCGTGAATTAGTCGCTCAAGGAACCCACGGATGAATTGAGTTCTTCTTAATTTCTTAAGATTCGGTTGAGTTCAGATTATGTAATACGATAATGTTCTTCAGCTGTTCAACTTATTATTGATGCTCTTGCCTGATTTTATCCTCGAAGAAAATCATATCAATCTTGTCTGATGCGAACTTAGCCACTGTTTAGCACACGCTCATCCTGCAGTTTCTGCAATTTAAAATAAGTTTATGTCAGACATTCCGAAAACTGGAGAAATATAAATGAAGCTCCTACATTGTTTGTGTCTTTTGTATGCTGTGACGTTTTGAACCTGAAAACCAAGTTATTTGTCACCAGAAATATTGTATTGGAAGCCTATATACATTTTTAATAATTTATCTACGTAACTTACACACGCTGTTTACATTGTGTGAATAATAGGGCTTTTTTCTCCATTTTGTCTGGTGACTCAAGATAATGAGAAGTTCCAAAGATTCATTGGCCTGTGGGATTTTTATAGTTGAAAAAAGCTATTGCATGCTTTTGACGCAAAAGGAAGAATTTGTGGCGAAATTTCCTTGATATTGAGAGTAGATTTGAAAACAGTGCTTTAGAGATTCAAAAGAAATTGGCAGAATCAAGATAAGAATCCATGTCGAAGAATCCAAGAATCATGGCACAAACCATGTCGAAGCCTATCTCATATTTAGTGTATATTTTTTGTTTATGGCCATAGCATTATAATGAAGCCGAAGCATATTTATTCCTTACATCGGATACGATTGAAGCAATTTCTAAGAAGTATATATTCGACGTTCATTTGAAAATTATTCAACCACTTTAGAGACATATTCACGCGTCAATACTTCGCATGTAGATCTTTTTCTCGTAAAAATTGAAAAAGCTAATCAATTTAAATCACTAGTCCCTGAACATAAATGAATCCACTCCAAAAGAAAGACTTTATTTCACTTCCAAATGGTTCCAAAGTCTATGGCATCTCGAATCACGCCATAGCAAAGTAAACAGACCAAATACCTCATCATCAGGCTCAAAACGAATCCAATTCGTGCGAACCGAAGAAAATGTAACCAAAACTTATATGCACACATTCCTTGAAGTGAATCGTCTTCAAAATTCAATCCATAAAATTAGGAGAGAAAAAAATCAAAAGAATAAACGACGGCTGGTATATATAGCTTATACAACCACAGCAGAAAGAAAAGCTGTACCACTCTTCACGCCATAAAAACTCACGAAGCCAATTTGTTTCTTTGCGTGTGCAATAATACCAGTCAAAATATAAATACTGATCGTGTAGTAAATTCCCCTGTGCAATTTCCACTCCTTCTTTAAAACGGTTGAAAAATAAAACACTTTTTCAAGTGACTCCGCAAGCACCCCTCGTATACATGATAAAAGTTCCCTCGCGTTTCAATGACTCCCGTCTGAATGATGATATTGGTCTTCAGTTTCTTTTTCTTCTGAACTGAAGAACTTTGTCTCTTTCTCATCATTGAGGGAATTTCAAAAAAAAAAAATTCGGTCGATCGAAAAAGATAGTAATCACGTGGATTCCGAGAGGTTTTGGTGATCGTGAGCTTGTGGCGGATCCAGTCCAATGATCTGCCTGATCTCCATGGTAATTCTTGTCGCAAACGGCTGTACAAAAAATTTCAGAAAATTATATTCGATTGAATAACGATTCAACTGAAAACTGAGCCTCTTGTGTCAGACAATTCCAGTTTTTCACCTTGGACAAATCTCCGCCCCACAAGGAGAACCAGACGATTTCCAGCAACGCAACGAAGAACGCGATGATCAAGCAAAACGTGAGCGTGACGAAAATTCCGCCTGTTGAATATGACAAAAATGAGCATTCTTTTTGTACCTTAAACTGCTGAATTGTATGTATTTATATTTTGTATTCGAAAAAAATGGTTTCATACTCAAGTGAGTGGCGTCAAGCGTATAGACATGCTCCTCGAATCGGAACGGCTGGCAATTTTCAGCAGCCGTGTCATGCCACCATTTCATGTATAATGCCTGCAAAAATATTTCCACGACCATGAAATAAATATTTAACGCAATTAAAATTTGTTTTCTTTCTCATACAGTAGTGAGACCCCGAGATTCAGACATAATTGGTGCATAAAGAGTGTCCCTAAGTCTAAATGTCCCCAATCTTAGTCTCATTTTTCTTTAGACTTGCATTATACAATTTTTAACTGGTGTTTTATGGACAAAATGCTCACTATAATTCCATGAAAATAAAAATTGTCTCTCAATTGAAACTGACTCAATCAATATATTTCAACACAAAATGGACTTTTGGGGAATTGAAAACAGATACCTCTGTACAGTGCATTGAAATGTTGGCATTCTCTGTAAAAATAACATTCTAGTGAAAAAAAAGAGCGAAGGAAATCTCTCTATGCTGGAGATAATTTGTTAAAATTATCTAAATGGATGGTAAATGTGTGAGAGAAATGCCCAATAACTTTTCTTACATGAATTTCAGGGTTGGAAACATCTGCTTCTTGTAATTTGGCCTGCAAATTATTTGAAATTTTACCACAAAATATCTCTATATGTCAAGCCAGTGTCCTCATGTTGAACCTTCTTAAGTAATTTTTTATGGGAAAATAAGTGTCCCTATGTCCACATGTCCGCATGTGGGGGTTTAAAGCGGATTTTGTAAGAAGGCTGTATAAATTAATGGCCTCCAAATTTGAAGCAGTTTATCAGTAAAAATAATGCAAGGGCCCCACACTGTGATCCAGCACTGATGCTATGTTCAAATTATTGTTCTTGCATTAAATCGAAACAAGGCGGCTTTTACTTTCAATTTGTGTGGTATAATTATGAAAATCTACCAGTTTCTCTGTCGAAAACGAGTAGCCAGAATAATTAGAGAAAATTGAATGCAAATCCTTCGCACAATTTTCGAGATCAAGCTATTTGGAATTTTATTTTCCAAGAAAAATGAAATGCAATTTCGTCGTTTATGTTTTCCCCCCTCAATTTCAGCCCGAGTCCATCAACGAAGATTGGAAAGGTAGTCTTCTAATAATGCTTTTACTTTATAAATTTTTGTTTGTCTCGATGCGTCATTTAGAACTATGCAACAAATAAGCAGCAAAATGAAAGCAAAATAGTTGTCCGCAATCCTCTTAAAAGTAGCCTTGAATCGAAACGGGATTTAATTTTCAGAGATGAAAATTAATTTAGGACGCAGTTGTCCGTCTGGCATGATTATTCCCACTCACTTAATTTTTTAAAAATAGAGTAATAGACATTTTTGAAAATAATCACCTGCATGGCTCCCTGTTCCTGAAGCTCGAGAATCGCATTACTAATAGGGTGAGTGAGAGGCGATCCCTTTTTCAAGGCCAACCCATAGCTTCTCCGATGAATTTCCGGTCCACATCTCTATCCCGACTTGAAATTTAGAATTATTCAGGTCTTCGAAAGACTATTTTTCGATTGAAGTATACTGAGTAACTATTTTAAAATTGTTCACAATCTACAAAAAAGCGATTTCCCATTAAAAAAGGCGTGAAAAAGATTTCCGTTCTTTTCCTAACTTGCGTAGAATGCAAAACCTATGAATATATGGACTATGAATACAATTTCCCATGGAATCGTATTGAATTACATTTTTAACCATATTTTTCACGCTTCAACAGAAGGAAATCGATCTCAGTAAGGGTGTGATGAAATATTTCATTATTTCTCTTCGACCATATATAAGTCTTTTTTTTATTTCTAACCCGGGTAAAATTCAAAGCCCGAACTCGGAAAAACTTCCAAGATCAACAATAATTCGTGAGCTCAAACTTCTTCGTTCATTTCGAGTTGCCAAAAGAATTCTTCGGACTTTAAACCAGGAATGTCAAGTTTATTGCCTTGTTCATGTTTTATTCAAGTAAACCATGTGTGCCGATAGACTTCAGATAAAATTTTCAGAACCAGGTCTGAATTTACCTCAAAGAATTTCTGGGTACTTCCTCCCTCGACACAACCGTACTCTACGTAGTCCTGGTTGAGCAAATCCCTCCAGTGCATAATCCTAGGAATGGCTCGAGCAGTTGCATATTCTTCTGCCACAAGCGATGCATACAAAACCAGGAGGATCATGCTTGACATCCACCAGATGAAAGTCAGTGCTCTTGCCGACAGGGACTGAAAATAAACGCGAAAAAGGGGAAATAAAAATCTAGCTATATTTCAGCTGAGCTAAAAATCAGATGAGCCCTCAAAAAAATCGGCAACATGCACGTAACACTCTTGTTCTCCGCAGCGTTTCCATGAAAAGAAGGCGCATCTCAATTTTTTACACAGAAAAATTTACCAGGGTTCACCCATTGCTGTTGGACCAAAAATGTCCTGGATTCAAAATTTCGGAAAATGAAAAGTAAACCGAGCGACGTGATGGATAAGCTGTAAGCTATAATTTTGTTCTGCTCCATATATTATTTCCTACCAAACTAATGAGAGAAAATTTTCAAAAGTGCTGAAATTTATTCAGTTTACATTTAGATGGCCTCAAAGAAAAGTAAAAAAGTAAAAGTTTAAAGTACCCTACTCTATAATTTACCCAAACCTAAAACCCATCCCACCGAACTATACATACCCTACCCAAAAAAGTACAGTCAACCCCCTCACAATGGACCTTCTGCACAATGGATTTTTGCACAACCTCTGGAGGCAGTTTTCTCTCCTGTGCAATGAACTATAATTCCTCGTAACAGACTTCTGTTGGTTTTAAATTAGTGGTAAAAAGTTAAAATTTTATTTTTTTTTCAACGCAGCGAAACCCCCACATGCGGACACCTTAATATGCAGACAATTTCACATAGGAACACTTATTTTCCCAAAATAATTTGAAAAAGGC